TCTTCTCCAGAGAGAGGCTTCTCCTACTGATAACACAGAAGGCATGGTTTGCCCTGGCTGGTTTGGCTCAGTGCATAAAGTGTCGGCCTGTGGACTGAAGGGTTCCAGGTTTGATTCTGGTCAAGGGCACATGCCCGGATTGTGGCTCCCTATAGATGTTTCTGGCTCATAGATGAATCCCCAGTGGGGTGGGGGCACACAAGAGGCAGTCCATATATATATATATTTTCACAGGAGGTCTTGGTTTAACTTATCCAGTTATTGGAAGGTCAGCAATTCTACAGAGAGATCCAGCAAATATAAAAGGAAAAGCTGGTGAAATGAGTGGGTTGTCTCTGACCCTGTCCTTTATGGAGTAATGGAATGTGGTCACCAGCTTTTATCAAAATTAGCCAGGCATTCAGGGTTTCCATGGCCCAGCACAAATACCCACCTACCCATCCTTGCAATAGCTTAGTCAGCACCTAATGCACTACAACCAGGCTGCATCATTATAATAAGGTTTGTAGGTTTAAACTAATTTAGGAGTCAATCTGGGTACCCAAAGGAGTAAATCTTTTTCTGAGATGGCAATTTGCTTGGTGAGTAGGATGAAATGTATGCTTGAAATCCAGAGGTTGGGGAGCCAATGGTCTCACGGGAGCATCAGACCTATAAGCAATTATTTCAGTACAGTGTGATAAATGCAGGTACAAAGCCACAAAGAACCATGCTATAAGGGGGCAGTGATGGATTAGTATGAGTAGGGGTAAGGTGCCTTTGCTGGGAGTGTCTGAAAAGAAGACTAGAAAGGGAGACTGGAGCCTGATTATGAAGGGCCAGGCTAGGAGTAGACTCTTAGGAATCAAAACTGAGGAGAGAGCTTCTGATCGAGGGATTAGGAGGTTGAGGGAGACTTTCCTAAGGAGCTGGTCCTTGGGATGGGTCTCTCGCCTAGCCTTTGATTTTAAGGCTCTCTTCTCTTCTTTTTCTCCTGCTCCATTTTCTGTGTATGCCAGACCCAGAACACCCCAGCCGCCTGCTGCTCTAATTACTTCATTCCATTTTAATTCTGCTGAGTTAGGAGCTTGTGAGCTCAAGAGGAAATGCATGTGAAATACAACAAATTGAATGTGCTGGCATTTCAGAAACACATCTGACCCTATCTGCCCCTTCGTGTCCCTTTCCTCTAGCAGTGCCTTGACCTGGAATGAAAAATCAAGGGCATGCCGAAACCGGTTTGGCTCAGTGGCAGAGTGTCAGTCTGCGGACTGAAAGGTCCCGGGTTCGATTCCGGTCAAGGGCATGTACGTTGGCTGCAGGCACATCCCCAGTGGGGGATGTGCAGGAGGCGGCTGGTCGATGTTTCTCTCTCATAGATGTTTCTGGCTCTCTGGCTCTCTCCCTTCATCTCTGTAAAAATCAATAAAATATATTAAAAAAAGAAAAAAAAAAGAAAAATCAAGGGCAGGATGTGCTGAAGGGAGAGGTGGTGGCACCGATAGAGTAAGATGTTGGGTTTACTGAACCATTACTTTTGGGGGGAAGAGAGAAAGACAGAGTGGGTGGGGGCTTTTGGATGGGGGACTTTTCCTGGTGCCTTTTGGGAACTGAGGGGGGTTCATCTTTGTAGTTCCAAAGCATTGTGAATATATGTGAGTCATAATGTTTCCTCTTCCCTAGAGATATTTAGAAATTAGAAGAGATACTTTATTCCAAGTTGTTTGTTCCTGGAGAAGGAGGGGATTGCAGTTTATAAATAAGCAGTTCTCAAGTTTTAGATCTCAGGATTCCTTTACATTCTTAAAAATATTGAGGTTTATATCTATTGATATTTACTGTATTAAAATTTAAAACTGAGAAATTAAAAGACTATTAATTCATTAAAAATAACAAAAATAAACCATGATATGTTAACATAAATAACAAATTTTGGTGAAAAAAAGAACTACGTATATTTTCTAAAATGAAAAAAAATTAGTGGTAAGATTGGCATGCTTTGCATTTTTGAAAATCTAATATCTGGCTTAACAGAAGACATCTGAATTCTCATTTCTATTGCATTCAATCAGTTTCTTTTTTTAAGTTAAAATTTTTATTTTTATTGATTTAAAAAAATACATATTTTTATTGATTCAGAGAGAAAGGGAGAGGGAGAGAGAGTGAAACATCAGTGATGAGAGAGAATCATTGATTGGCTGCTTCCTGCATCTTCTCCCCCTTCTCCCCCCCACCCCCGCCCCGCCCGATGGAGCCTGCAACAGAATCACACCATGACCTCCTGGTTTGCAGGTAGACACCCAACCTCTGATCCACGACGGCCAGGCAAAATTTTATTTTATGTACAAAGAGCTAGCATTGTTTCTTTCTTGAATGACCCATTCAAGGAAGTTCACTAAGTCCAACTTAATGAAGCCTACATTCTTCCCAAACTGATGTAATCACTGGTGACACACGTTGAGACCGTGCCAATTTGAGTAGATGGGACAAGAATGAGAACCCTGGCCCAGCTGATGTGGCTCATTGGTTAAGTGTAGACCTATGAACCATGTTTGATGAGGTCATGGTTTGATTCCCGGTTAGGGTACATGCATGGGTTGTGGGCTTAATCCCTAGTAGGGGGTGTGCAAGAGGCATCAGATCAATGATTCTCCCGCACCATTGATGTTTCTGTCGCTCTCTCCTCCCTTCCTCTCTGAAATCAATAAAAATATATTTAAGTATGTATATGTATATGTATATGTGTGTATGTATATATTTATCTATCATCTCTATCTCCATCTCCATCTCCATCTCCATCTCCATCTCCATCTCCATCTCCATCTCCATCTCCATCTCCATCTCTATCTCTCTCTGTATCTCTACTACCTATAAAAAGAATGAGATCCCTGGTCAAATTTTCTCAGATGACTTCAGTAGAGCTGCTGATGACTCATCTTGCTCTCTTAGATGCATCAATCAGTTTCCATATGTTTTGATTGAAGTACATGGAGAAAATATGGCCTCTATAGAGTTGGGGAAAGGGAGGAGTATTTTAGTTTTCAAATAATTGTAGTTATTTTTTAAAATATATTTTATTGATTTTCCACAGAGAGGAAGGAAGAGGGATAGAGAGCTAGAAACGTCGATGAGGAGAGAGAAATATCGACCAGCTGCCTCCTGCACACCCCCTGTTGGGGATGTGCCCGCAACCAATGTATTACATGCCCTTGACCGGAATCGAACCTGGGACCTTTCAGTCTGCAGACCGACGCTCTATCCGGCTTTGGCTGTAGTTATTTTTCTTTGCTACTACACCTTGACACATAAAACTTGACACATAGTAACTTCTTTTTAAAAAATATATATTTTATTGATTTTTTTACAGAGAGGAAGGGAGAGAGATAGAGAGCCAGAAACATCAATGAGAGAGAAACATCAATCAGCTGCCTCCTGCACACACCCCACTGGGGATGTGCCCACAGCCAAGGTACAAGCCCTTGACCGGAATCAAACCTGGGACCCGTCAGTCTGCAGGCCAATGCTCTATCCACTGAGCCAAACCGGTTTCGGCACTTAAAGGTTACTTGCAATGTGGAATCTAAAACCATATCAATCAATTCCTACTCTATTACATTAACATTTATTGGTTTATTTTGTACTTAAAACTCTTTTATTTATTTATTTGTTTGTTTAAAAATATGTTTTATTGATTTTAGAGAGAGAGAGGAAGGGAGAAACAGTGATGTGAGAGAGAAATATTGATCTGCTGCCTCCTGCACACCACCTATTGGGGATTGATCCTACAACCTGGGCATATGCCCTGACCAGGAATCAAATTAAGTACAACCAGCAACCTTTTGGTACATGTGAGGATACCCAACCAGCTGAGGCACATTGGCTAGGGCTTTATTGATTGTTTGATTGATTTGAGAAAGAGAGAGAGAGTAAGGAAGGGAAAGGGAGAGGGAGAGAGAGAGAGAGACATTGATCTGCTGTTCCATTATGCATTCTTTGGATGATTCTTGTATGTGCCCTGATCAGGGATCAAACCTGAAACCTAGGTGTATTGGGATGACATTCTAACCAACTGAATACCTGGCCCACTTATTATCTTACACTTTGAATAGATTTTGTAACATCATGCATTGGTCATTTGGAAAATATAGGTTCTCTTGGATTATACAGATCTTCCAAATGTTGATACATTTCATTATGCTTTCTAAATCACATTCATTATATCATCATCAGTCTCTTAGAGAAATCTTTAAGCGTTGGGAAGCTGTCCCGTTCATGGTGGCAGGTACAAGTGTTCTAAAATTTTCACTTGTTAGCTTGAATTTTATCATTGGCAACACATGCTTTTGGTTGTTTTCCTTGAAGTGACAGGCTCATTTTGTTCATTTTGGGGAAACTGTCTGCCAAACATTCAAATCTGAATAATCTTAGTTTGTCTTTCAGTTTTTTCAAGTAAGAATGATGTTCCATGAAGAGAGAGACTAGTTCAGCTTGAAACTCAAACAATTGCAGAAGTGTTTTTCCTGGAGACAGCAGCCATTGTACTTGGAATACTGAAGACCTATTTTATGTGTATTTTCTATTTCACCAGACAGAATATTAAAAACATTACTCAAGGGTTGAGATTTAGTAAAAATTAATAATTTTTACTGTTTTATCAAGGCAATTCCTAAGTGAAAAATGATTCTTTTTAAACTGTATATGTATGACAGAGAGGGGTATAAGGACTGTTAGTACAGTTTAGTGCCACAGCTTTTATTTGTGCTAAGGTGCAAGCTATTTTATTCACTATTACTTTTGTATCATTAGTATAAAAGGGAACACAGTGAAAAAGACAAAAAATACCTGAAAGTGTTAGGAAAAGAGTTTTGACCTTGTGGATTCTTAGGGTCTTGAAGACCTCCTAAGGGTCTATGGATCACACCTTAAGAGCCACTGCCCTAAATGACATGTCTGAGTTTAGGGTTTGGCCCTAGGTCCTGTTTTTTTTCTTTTTTTTCTTCCACTCTCTACTCTCTCCTTAGATGAACTCTTCTGATCTCTTTGGACTACCTCTGAGCAAATGACCCATACACTCGTTATCTTGAGCCCTGACTTCTCCTTTGAGCTCCAGAACCATATATCTAGTTGCCAATTCAACATGGGTACTTGACTCAAAGACTCCTCAAGGATAATCTGTCTAAGATTTCACTTCTGGTCTTTTTCCTTATTGTCTCCCACCCATTTACATCTAAGAAGCCAGAATCCTTATCTTTATCACATTTTTGCTCCCCCTTATACAATCAAACACCAAGTCTGTTAATTTTATCTCCTAAATATGTTTTATTATTATTATTATTATTATTATTATTATTATTATTTTTTGGAGAGAGAGAGAGAGAGAGAGAGAGAGTAGATATTGAGAGAGAGATTTGTTAGTCTACTTATTTGTGCATTCATTGATTAATTCTTGTATGCACCCTGACGGTGGATTGAACCCACAATCTTGATCCATACATAGAGTTGACATTCTGTAATCAACTGAGCTACCTGGCCAGAGCCTCCTTAATATCCTTTTATTAATTTTTTTTTTAATTTCAAAGAGGAAGGAAGAGGGAGAGAAAGATAAAAATATCAGTGATGAGAAAGAATTGTTTAGCAGCTGCCTCCTGCACACACCCTACTGGGGATCGAGCCCACAGCCCGGGCATGTGTCCTGATTGGGAATCGAACCATGACCTCCTGGTTTATAGGTTGACACTCAACCACTGAGCCACATGGCTAGGGCTAAATATCCTTTTAGTCCATCACTTCTCTCTCTCTCTCTTTAAAAAAAAAATTATTGATTTTCCACAGAGAGGAAGGGAGAGGGACAGAGAGCCAGAAACTTCTATGAGAGAGAAATATCGAACCAGCTGCCCCTGCACACCCCTTACCGGGGATGTGTCCACAAAATGCACATGCTTTTGACCAGAATTGAACCTGAGAACCTTCAGTCCGCAGGCCGATGCTCTATCCACTGAGCCAAACTGGCTTCAGCCATCACTTCTCTCTATCTTTACCACTACCACCACCACCGCCACTACCAAAGTCAAAGACACCATGATCTCTTGCTGGAATTACAGCAGTTTTTCTACAAGCTATTCTCAGCACTGTAGCTGAGTGATCTTTTCAAAACACAAATCTGATCATGCCAAAACCCTGCTTAGACCTTTCAGTGACCTCCCATTGCTGCTCTCACAATGAAGGTCAAAATCTTTAACATGATCTGACTCTCGATTCTAGGTTAGGTTCTTTGGTATATGCTCTCCTAGAACATGTTTCTTCCCTTCATAATGCTTGTCATGGTTTGTACTATCATGAGTGGGATTGTTTGATTATTGTCTCTCCCTGATGAGTTCCTAAGTTCCATGATAGCAGACATCTTATAAATATTTAATTTACTGAGCCAATGATCAAATGAGGCCTAGGACAACTCTGAGCATAGATCAACCATTGAAAAATAAGTCTTCTGCCCTAGGCCCCTGAGTTGAGGGAAGGCCTATTTTTATTTATGTTGTATCATAGCATTTCAAAGAAAAATGCTGCCTTGTCCTAGGCTTTCCATCAAAGCGTCCTCATAAGAGCTGGGGCACATTAATCTTCCTTTTGACATAGGAGCCTTCTTTGCTCCCCATCACTTACGCTGCCAGTGGCTTTTGGAGGTTAGTTAGCAATACTGGACTTTCAGGAATATAAAGGAGGACACCTAATCTCTTTCCTACTAGGTGCTTGGCTAGGAGGCCTATTTCAGCAAGAGAGAATAAAATATGCCAAGGAGCCAAAAGGGAGACGAAAGGAGAACGAGTCATGATGTCTGTCCTCAGGGAGACTTTAATCTGCGGTAGAAGACAGAACCCCCATCTTGGTTTATTTTATTTTTATTTTAGCTGAGGTAAATATAGCACTGGAAGTGGCCTTTCCTATAGAAAGGAAGGGAAACCAACATTTATTATGCATCTGCTGTGTTATTAAGCACCTACCAGCCACTTTGGCTTGTTCTCTCATTCAGTCTTTACAAGAACCATATGAGGTTGGAATTATTGTCCCATTTATATAGATGAGAAAACAACTGAGGCCCAGAGAGATTTACTTACTTGTATATTTAATATAGTATAATAGACCTATTTACCTACCCATTCCACAGCCCTTTTTAAGAGATTCTGTACTAGCCAAAACTTGGTTGCAGGCTATGTTCTATACCACATGACACCCTATCCCCAGGTTTTTTATTTATTTAATATTTTATTGATTTTTTTTTACCGAGAGGAAGGGAGAGTTAGAAAAAAGAGAAAAACATTCATCGGCTGCCTCTTGCACACCTTCAACTGGGGATGTGCCTGCAACCAAGGTACATGCCCTTGACTGGAATCGAACCTGGGATCTGTCAGTCCCCAGGCCAACGCTCTATCCACTGAGCCAGACCAGTTAGGGATACCCCCAGGTTTTTAAATCACCACTTGCCTACCTCCTCTGCCCTAGGTGATCGGACCAGAGGGGCGTTCTGACCAAAGTCAGTCAGCATATAGGCTGGCCAGCCACTCTAATTTATTGCCCAGTGGAAAAAAGACAAACGGGGCCAATTTGATTCCCTTTCTTAGAAGCCCCAACCTAAAGTAAAGGGTTCTAGCCACCAGTCTTCTGGTCACGCCACTGGGAGAGGAACAGACTTGCCCGGTGTGTCTCATTTACATTAAGGCCAATTGGAACTTGGCAAGGAAGAGCCATGACCGTTAGTCATTGAGGAATCTTCAATCCAGATTTCTTCCAGCGTGAGCACCTGTCCCTGGAGTGCCCTGAGAAGCCCCACGTGGCTCCTTATGCATTCTGACACTAACCTTCCCGTTCGAGCTAACTTTGCCTTAAGAGTTAGACTCAAACGGTCTTAGGATTACAGAGTCAGAACCTGAACCTAAGCCCATCTGACCACACAACTTGTGCTCCTTTTATTATTCCACACCCAGAGGCGTGTCCCTGGGAATGAACACAGTTAACTTTAGAGAGAGGTAACGATTTAAAGAAGGATGTGCTATGTGCTCTGAGGTGTCAGATGCCTCATTAATCATGTCTGCCTTTGTTTTGGGAATCCTTCCTGAGAAATAAAAACCATGCTGACTAGAAGCCCTCCCATTGCCAGCCACAGTTTGGTGTGTGACGTTATGTGTGAAATCACTAGTTGTCAGTGACATCACTGAGCAATGCGATTCTCATAATGGCCCTAGACCTTGAGTAGCTCAGGGTGAGGAGCTACAGAGAGCACAGCTTTGGAACAGGGTAGCCTGGGATTCAGGTCTTCTTGTCTGTCTGTCCTCAGGAAAGGCAGCACTACTTTCCCAGCCTGTTTCTTAGTGTCCTCATTGGTAAAATGGAGATTCCTATCTCACAATAAGGATTACAAGAGATAAATACGCAAGACTTTACACTGGGGGAGTTAGTGTTTAATGGGTTTTTGTTGGGTAAGGTGAAAAAGTTATGGAGAGAGATATTGGCGATGGTTGCCCAACATTATGAATGTACTTATGTGACAGAACTGTACATTTAAAATGGTAAATCTTATGTATATTTTACATTAAAAAAACCCCCACACAAACCAAACCTTTACATTAGCCAATCCCAGGGCCCTTAACCCAGGGCCCTTCTAAGACCCTGCGCCATGGGACCCATCATAGCCCTCTGCCCTAGAGAGCTGGAGGCCCATTGGGGCAATGAAGGAAACTCTCCAGACCCGGGAGATTAGGACTGCTATGAGATGAGCACTTTCTAGGGTAGGAGGCCAGGATTTAGGTTGGGAAAGAGTGAATGGTTGAGCTGCATTTCTGCTGGAAACTACAGAGCTCTTCCGGGAGGGTTCCTTTCTAGCCATCAGTTTTCTGATCGCACCACTAGCAATGCTCACTGTGTGCTGTGTGGAGCTGGCCTGGTACCCCCCTCCCCCTTTCCTCACAGCAACCTCTCTGCCTTCCTCAAAGCCAGTACCTGTATTAATGTGATAATGCCATGATAATGGCCAGGACATGACTTCAGCTAGCTGATTAGGCCGTCTGGAATGGCATCTGAGACACTGTCTTCATTCTCCCTGGTGAGGAGGCAGCACAGGCACTGACTAGGAAATTACATCTGGGAAAGCACTGAGGAGGAAAATTGGAAGTACCAGAATTTCCCAGGTTGCTATTCCACAGGGGCTAAACATCGTTAGCAGCAGCACTAATTATGATCCAGGAGAGTCAGGCCTGGCTGCTAGCCTGCACAGGCAGTCCTTGACAGTGGCCTTGGGAGCCAGCAGGACAGAGACAGAGCTACAGGGAGGCGGGGCTCTGAAGCCAAGAGAGAAGAGACTGCAGGGTTGTTCAGACATGTGGACATGAGTGCCCTCATGTCTTTCAGAATGCTTGGAACTATGATAGGAAGAGTGGAAGTTAGATTGCTGGAATGATTTCTACCTGCTCAGAATTCAGAGTTGTCTGTACTTCCTCTCTTCTCATTCTCTCTTGTTCTCTACGCTCCACTGACAATTCTCGTGTCAATGTCACCAATGACTTCCCTGTTGCCATTTTCAGAATTCATCTCTCTATCCTCATCTTACTCATTCTAGCAGCAGCATTTGTCATGGATGATCATTCCTTCCTTCTTAAAACACTCTTTTTGTTTGGCTTCCAAGACACTTCTTTTTCAGTTCTTTTCCTACCTGTGCTGGCTCCTCTTCATCTTCCCCATCTCTGGGATGTTCCTGGACTGTCATCTCACCTCTATTCTACTTTATCTACTCTCACTCCCTAAAAATCCCATCTATCTCAGGACGTTAAATTCAGCTACATGTTGATAAATCCCAAATGGATATCATCAGCCCCTACTTCTCCCTTGAACTTTAGAATCATATCCAGCTGCTACTTGACATCTCCTTGTGAATGTCGCTCACTGTCCGCTTAAACACACTGGTTCCCCAGTCTTCTCTATTGCAATAAATACAACTCTGTTGTACCAGGTTCCACCCTTTGAAATTATTTGTGGCTTTTCTCTTTCTTTCATGCCCCCTTATCCAATTCCTCAGGAAATGCTGTCAGTTGTAACCTTTAAATTATCTCCAAAATCTGGTCACTTATACCACTCCTGCCCTCATCAGAACCACCACCATTACTTGCTAAGGCAATTCCAATCACTTCTGAATGAGTTACAATTCAAATGAAGCTGCAATATCACAGTTTCCAAAATACAGTGTTTTATTCAAGATAGAAGATTACTTCTTTCTCAAGTATGAATCTGTGCATAGACTCTGGGGTTAATACAGTCACTCCACAATGTCGGGATC